AGTCTTACCCTTCTATTCATTCTCCCACTTTATCTGGTCCATCGTTTCGAAACGAACTAATGCGTTTAGAAAGGAGATTCGCGCGTTGTTAAATCACCTACGACGTCGTCGTCGACGCTCGTTCTTTCGGTGTCGTCGCCGCCGCCCCCCCCCCCCCCGGTCACCTATCCAATTATCATCAGCACCCGCGAGATTGTAAATGCCGATTGCGCGACGTGTGAGAACGACGATTAAAACGAACAGTGTGCGTATTATTTTTAAGCACAAGCAGTATAATATACTCAATGGTATTACGTAAATTGAGTAATAAAAATACATATTATCTTTTTTCGGCTCGTCGTGGCTTTAACTAAGCTTGGAAGGAGGGGTGTTATATTATTTTACTAATTTTAGATGACAACATATGTTTCTTTGTATAAAATCTTTCCAAACTTTTTTGATAGGGGTCTATAAGCATTGAGAACCAACCCCTCTTCTCTCACAGTTATATTGTTATGTACAAGTATAATAATATGCACATTAATAATTATTTGAAGAATAGATTGAGCAATTTGAATATTAGAAGAGTAGTCCAACTACTTTGTTATACCTTTATAAATGTATAGGTAGCGTGTATTATCTAAAAAAAAATATGATGTATTGCATAACATTGTAGTATATATTACCCATAAGTTATTATATTAATTATAAAGACCTACACACCTACATGATCTTTTTGTCTATAAATAACGAAACGTTTGTTATAGTTAAGTAAACACTAAACAATATAATTAATGAGCAATAAGTATAACAATACATAGTTATATCATGCAATATTATGCTTTTATTATGCTTTAATTGTGTTCCCAATATTTTTACCTATTTTCTATTAGTAATTTGCTCAGTAAAATAATAGGGCCAAATCTGCAGCACCCAACCGTCCATCCCTCGATAAGTTGATAATCCATCGTCCATCTATACCCAAGTCCAGTCTTGTAAAGTATTTCAAGAAATGTATAAAAATTTAAATATTCTTAGAAAAAAAGTATTTAATACACAAAAAGTTGTATTAAACTCATGCCCAATCAAATTTTACTAATCATTTTATTTGTATACTTGTTATATTAGCATTATTATTAAATAATTAAATAATAATTTCATCGTTCTACAATGCTTATTTGTATTTTTAACACGTTGGTGTAAACGTTTATTTCTAACCATTCTAAAATTGTAATTCATACATTTTATATTTTTTTTTCAGTTATACATATTATACTTACAGTTTATGCAGGCTCGACAGTGGCGTATACGTGGGTGGGGGGTAATGGTCGTGGGTTCGAACAAGGGGGTTTCCCCTTCCGTCCTATCAATATGCGCCACTGAGGCTTTGCAGCTGTAGCTATAATTTCATGTAAAGCATATTACTTTTTATTTAATAATAATTTGTTTTTTTGGATGCAAAATCTACAGTAATATTAGTTAATAATCGACACATTCGTGTATTACAATAATAATATAATACAGTTGTCCGCTGCTATATTTTCCAGAGATTGGGTTTTTTTTTTATATTTTGAAATGATCTAGGTAATTTCACAATGATTTTCATGCTCCAATAGTAATCAAGCGGATATTCCCAATAGCTTAAAATTGCCTAGACAATAATCTTAATTCTTAACTGTATTTTTGTTTACCGTTTGTTCAATAATTTATATATATTGTTGTTTAATCTTTGGAACGGATTATCGAATAAAAAATAACACTCATATAACATTAAAAGTTACTTTATAATCAAAGAACACAATTGAAAAGTTTACTATGTATGATTGACCTACTATTACATGCTATTTATATGCATATAATTTATTGATACATTTTTTTTTACTTTTAAAATTGAAGCTATTTACAATATATTATTATTGATTACATGTTTTATGTATTATTTGTATATACCTACTAGTAATTTGATTTAATATAATGGATCAATTTTCATTGATAGTACCTACTCTATCTGTATATATACATATATAAAACATGAGTATATGTACTGCTTGAATGTAATTTTTTGTCCTAAAAATACTTGTTCTTTGGTAAAATTGACATTTTAGAAGTTATGAATGTTTCTTTTTTTTCTGTGTAATGTGAATGCATGTAAATTTTAATAAAGTATTAAATTATACGTTACAGTTAGGTATACCTCCATATACATATAGAATCTTAACTCTGCGCGTCTAATGTCTCTATTCAAATATAATGAATAATGATTATACATTTAAAATTGTTGATGTCCTAAATTATTATTTACGTATATAAAGCAAGTCTTGATAATTTGTCTTTTTGATAATTACTCATCACTTCAGCTGGTAAATCACTTTTAAAAAGTTTTAAAAACTAAAAAAATGTCGTCAATTGTGTAAACGGTTGTTACTTATGAGTTATAAATTTACCAGAAAATTGAATATTTTTCTAATTTTTGTAAGCTACGTTAAATGTGTATTATAAATTATGTACGTCATTACCAAAAATCATATTATTTATGTCTTAAATAATAAAAATATCAATGACTCACAAGTCCATTAGTATAATATTATGTACCTGCATCACACATCATAATATTAAATTACAACGTGTCCGAAAGTTGTTGACAACCGGTCTTGGAAAATAACATCCATTATTAAACTGCAACGTTGATTTTGGAGACATCGTCTAAGACTTATTATACTTTATTGTATTTTTAATGATGACTTAGATACAATTGTTTTATTTATTGGACGACATAATCAAATTGTATAATCTCTCGTCTATTTAATTTAAATATAGGATTTTAAGATTGTGTACCTAGTTGATCAACTGAAGAATTATAAAGCAATGTAAGCTGCGTGGCTCTTTGCATATAATATACGTGTTTTCCTCTTTACGGTATAAGTACCACTCTATAAGCAATATCGTTGATATTTAAGCCGAGTTCATTAGGAATTCTTCAAGTTTTATTATTTTGTTTTCTCTCTCTCCTTTACATATACTCGTGTATAGCTACAGGACGAGTATTTCGGGAGGTTAATGACGTTTACGGTTTGAGAAGTGCTTTAGTGCCCGTTCTACCGGTATGTTGTATTATTTAATTTTATTTAATATGTATGTTGAGACATGCTTTATTTTTTGGAAAGTTACCAAGATACGCGAACCCTAAATCCCCGTATGAAATATTGCATTTCTAATTCTAAATCTGAAATTGTTTTATTCGTACAGACAATTAGCAATAATACATACCTATACTTACCTACCTATTTCTTAACTGTCTTATTTTTTATTTCAGGTTGTAGGCATCCAGCAATATTTGGTGAAGCCGACCGAAGTTGACCAAAACGAAAACATGCTGTCTGATCAAGTCACGTCAGACATAGGCATCACTGAAAAAATGGTCAAGACTTCCGGTATTCCCTTGCAGGATGCCATCGACAAGGTGAGTTTTTAATATTTGATAATAATAATAGGTAGGTATATACCCCGAACTTTTGAAAATAGTCAAGTGGCGATAGTAAAGAATATTTCCATGATACTAAATGACGTATAGATAAGTAAATTTTATAATATTATGAATGTTTCGCCTGACATCGACACGTTTGCCGTACAAGTGTACAACTTTCATCCGGTTGTATATTATTATTATTTGTCAGCGGATTTCGCTCAACGATTTTAGCATTTATTTAGATTAGTCGTGTCCGTTTTTAATGCAAATACCTACTTGTGATATAACCCTACCGCGAGGTCGCGAGCAATACGTGTTGACTATATATAATATATATAGTCAGTTGGCTTCTTTATTATGCATATTGTGCTGTTTGCATATTTATTCAAAGCCCATAATGCATCGACAGTCGTGTAGAACTCGTATCGTCATACATAGGTACCTATATATACGTATATCATATATCAGAATATTATATTATTATTAAGTGTCGAGTAGAGGTTTCTCCGGCGTGATTTCAATTTTTCCGTCCAGGACAGACAGTACTACAGTAGTCAGTAATATTGAAAGTTTGAAAATTAAAAAAATGTTTATATATTTATGTTATTTTCTGTATACCGTCAGCCTATTACACGGAAAATAAACGTTTATTTTATAGCAATATCTGTACAGAAAACAAAATTGGTTTTAGTGACAAAAACTTTAAATAATGCAAATTTACAAGCAAATATCTTTCTTAAGTTCAAAAAAAAAAATACAGACATTTTGAACCAATACCCGGCCATTATTAGAGGTATTCCTAAAATATAATCCTACAATTTCATCCTTAGCACTAGTTGGGATGTTATTTAGCAAGGCAATACAAGTTTTAACAGCTGGGTGTAATAGTTTAAATGATAGAACTTTTGAAATGATTTTATGTTGTATAGATCAAATATGGTTTGAATTATTATTATTATTTTAAAAGCATTTATTATTATTATTTTTTTTTAATTTTAGCTAAGAGCTTCTTTGTATTTTTATTAAATTAAGTCAGAAACTTTTTTTGAACTATTACCTATATCACTGAATATTTGCAAAACTAAACATGAAATCATCTGATATTTATCTATATAAAAATGAATAATTGTTATCTTTATCTAGATACCTATATTATTAGTTATCTATTCCCAACACTGAATTCGTCATACACGTATATCGTCTATCAGAATATTATATTATTATATAGCGTCGAGTAGATTTTGTCTTGCGTGATTTCAATTTTTCCGTCCAGGACAGACAGTAGTCAGTAATATTACGCTAAATACGGGCTTTTTTTTATATTACCTCTCCACGGGTGGCCGAGCGCGATCGCGTATAATATTGTTATACAGGGTGATCAACCCCGCATATGTTCCGCAACAGGTATCCGCCACAGTGTACTTATATATAAGTGCTTAACACACACCATGATCGCGGAGTACCTCGTGTTAATCAGTTTCCTGTGGGTCGACTACACACGCGACCGCCGTAGTTGTGTGTATACACCTGCATGTAGGGCCACAGGGCGTGTAAAGCTGCTGATAACATATTACACCGCATAATAAATAATAATATCGTTCTACAGCAGCTGCAGCTGCTGTTATATGCCTACAGTTTATACATATATATATTAGACCATCACTATTATATAATAATATCACCACACTTTATTATCTCGTGGTGTTAATAATTTGTACGTACTATATAGGGGAGGGATATATGTTTTACCCAAGGTAAACCGTCAAGGTAGTCGGTGATGTGCTCGTATAATTTGCGTTTTTATTATAATACATGTACAATGTAGGTACTGTGCGGCACCCGGATACACGAAACATCCGATAACCTGTTGAGTGCGGGGCACACTGCTGAGGCGAGTGTAAAAATAACGAGATTTGGCATCAGGTTTTCAAAAGAGCCATAACCCGGGCCGTGTACCCACATTATAAAGTTGTCTTTGCCCGTCATCTCCTCCGAGATATTGTCTTTTGGTTGGATATGGTTCTAATATTATAATAATATCATGTCGGTCGTTCGAATCGGTTTGAAACGCGCTTCGTCGATTTCGAATTTCCAACCATTTTAAATGTTTTTGTGCCACGATTCGCACAAGTCACAGCGAATATGGAACGAAAATACAAATACAATGTGTATGTGAACTGTGTACAATTTTACCGAGTTTCCCATTTTAAGAGTTAAGTCATAACAACTATAACTACTCTGAGGTCTTCTTTTACCTTGAACAAAAAATCGTCCACTTTTATACATGGGTATACTCATAGTTGCTATTATTATAAAGTTACAAATATTTGTTAGATTTTCGACATAATATAATAACATTTTTATAATTAACGGTTATTTTATTTTATTGTGATACGGACTGGGGCCCATATAAAATATAATATTCACAAATACAGATAATGGCTTACATAATACAACACTATATTATGATAATAACTAAGGGATGTGTCCTCGTTGGCAATTCGCATAATTTAGTGCTTACATAATTAGTGCGTTAGATCCAGATCTACCCAACTGGTATAGTGAGGTACAGGTACATCTAGGTACATGAAAAGGACATAAACTATATGGTCTGAACTTAGTTTCTTCTTATTTAGAAGATTTAGAAATCTCGCGTATGGTCGAGCATTACAAGTCACTTGAGTAAAAAATAATAATTAGTCGTTATTTTTCTATAAACGTCGTAACATATTATTATAGCTTTACATATACTCTAAAGGTACGACGACCGTACGAAGTACGGATACCGTTTAATACCTATGTGAATACGATTTCCTGCCTGTTAAACTTCTTATGAAAAAGTATTAAAGTTTATTATGGGTTTTTTTTTAAAATCATTTTATCTTTAATTATCTTTAATCATCTTTATATTATTTTTTTATTTTTTTTTAATGTGTACCTATATGATATAGACTTTTATTCTGTTAACCATTAACCACGATGATCTTGATTAATTCTTTTCCAAAACTTGTCAGTTGTCATAAAAAGTATGTCTAGATTGTGAGCTGTATGTCGCTTAGAATAGAAATAATGTTAAAAAAATTACTAAAAAAATCAAAACTTATGAGATAACCATGTAACATGTATATTTCTAGCTAATGATTATCGTCTTGCATTTACGATTTACACAATTAGAAATTGTTCAGTCCCATAATAGGAAGTGTATTTTAGTTACTACTATAGATGTATGCGATCGAATAAATAATATTATATATCATCATAATATGCGATCTTATAGAATTGTATAATTTCTATTTCTCTTTTCCGCTCTGGGTTTTCTTTTGGTGTAGGGAAACAAACTCATCTAAATCCACCCCTGCACGCTGCATATATTGTAAGCTTTCATTTTCAATTTCTTCAATGATGTGATAACGATGTTATTATATTCCTAGAAAAAGGAGGACTGGCTTCTGCGAACTCTTATAAAATATATATTGCTATCAACCGGTTTCGCTTATGATCGAAAGTAGTAGTAGTAGTAGTGACGTATATATATATATAAAACTGTATACGTATGCCGGAATTATACATATACCCGGTAATACTGGTATATACCGCTCACAATCCGGTACTTATAGCTTACTTGCACCGTTAAACTGGTTTTGGCTATATTGATCTACTTGTCGGCGAAATAGAATTTCATACCAATCGAATGCTCTCTCTCAGACTCAAGGATTTATTTGATAAGACTTTTATTAAAAAATACAATAATATAATAATATTATTATTGACCTATCGTCATCCGTGAAATGTTTTTTTTTAAACATATCCTACAGGTTTATGTACAGCTTGGTGAAATGCAATGTATCTGTTATATACAATTTACTACTAGAATACAATAATTGTATGTAAGTACTCAACAGGTACGTACTGTTTATGTATTATACTTAACCACCAAACTATGAGCGAAAACCCGTTATTTGAACACAGGTACCTATAATTTTTCAACGAGAGATGTCGCAAACCTACGTAACGTAAATCAGTTACTATCGTTGTACAAACTAGGACATATCGCCCTTGGGTGTATACAATTGACTCAGTCTAAACGAATTAGTCTTTAGATTTAAATCTCAGTGTTATTAGTTTTTGACAACTCACTGCTCGTCGTCGTTGCATTATCATCGCAACAGTCAAAAACTCAAAACTATTTATATGTATATAATATATAAATAGGTACCTAAATATATTTGTATACTATACGTACTATGATATTTGTGACGTGAATTAATTTAGGTATACTGCAATGTAGTTACGTATATTTAGACAGTTTTAAACTATTCTGACAGTTGATTTTTAGATCAAATTTACAACAGATTGTTAATCACTTTTTCTTTAGCAGTTTAATCCACTCTTGGATTGTTTATTTAGTTTTCTTGATAGATAATATATTGATAATCGAATTGACGCAACGTCAGCACTCGGCACTCTACCGCTGCAATAGCAACGAAATAACACAACGCATTTCGATATGGTCAAACACGTTCCACATTTTTCTGTCCGTGCCTATATTATATTATATTATGTAGGTACTGCAGGTTGAGCCTTGGCGTTTTCTTAAAAAAGTCTAAGACGAGGAAACACAGTGCCTCGCCCAGTGGCATATACAGGGGGGTCAGGTGGCACCCCCGCCCAATTGCCTTTTTACCACTAATAAATGTACTTATTATTTATATACCAAAACTGTAAAAAACTTTGTTTGATTTATACTTAACCCCCCACCCCCGGCATCGTCGAGAATACAGATGTACCTACTCTTATTTAATCGTAAAATTTTCAATGGTATAAAGTTATTATTTTGACTCCATTTGCAGTGTATACTGTATAGGTATAATATACGATATATTTATTGACTATTGTTATTATGTTATTATTTTTATTATAATATAATATATAACTATATTATAGGCATACCTATTGTTATATTGTATATTACTCCTATCAGCCATCATTATCAT